AACTAATTAGTCCATAAAAAATATATAGACAGGCATTTTCTAAGCAGTGAATGATGATTCCAACAGATGATCCCACTATTTCCATAAGGGAATTGCAGCCATTCTGAAAACCACAAGGTGCAATGGATAAGCACCCTTAAATCAGAGCTACAGGCTGACTTTGGGGGTGGTTAAGTGGTGCTGTTTGAAATGGGCTGCCTGTAACTCTGTGGATGTTGTCTGATTATTACTATTCACCTTTTGCTCTGTGGGATCCTACATCTAGCTTTAACTTACTAACAGACAATGGTCTAGGCTCAAATCTGTGTGTGTGTGTGTGTGTAGGAGCCTTTACATCAATGGAAACATCTTCAGGGATTAATTTTTCTCCTTTTACTGTAGATTTTGGAAAGAAGTACCGCTCTCCTTCCATAAACTTTAAGTCTTCCATTAAAAGACACATTTATTTATACAAGCAGATTTCTATCTGTCCTGTGGACTTTTCCACAGACCCACCAAACCTGTTGTTGACCTACACTCTCCATTAGTGTACAGCCATGAATTAAAGCCTTGTGATAACCTGAACGCAGAAATTTTCTTACCAGCCACTTGCAGGGCTGATAACTTTTGCATTATTAACAAAAAAAACAAAACAAATCACTTTTCTGCCCTTACAAGAGAATATAAATTGATCTCTTGAAGAATTGAAGGTTGGCATTATTTCTGTGCATCTCTTCATTTCTAAATGGCTTTTACAGAGGTCTTTGCTATCAGGAGTATTGAAAGTGAGGAAGTAGAAGGCTGAGATTAGACATGAAGCTCTAAGAATCAGAGAAAATGAAATCACTATGAAACTTAAATTCGAGAGGAACTTCAAGCTAGACTTCATGGGAAAAGATTACAGAAAAAATAAAAAAGCATTTTATTTTTTCTAAAGAAAATAAAATGCAAATAGCAGAAAAAGAACAATTTCTGAAAAATTTCTTGAAGCATCGAAGAAGGAAATAGGGAGATAATTGTATAAGACAAATTGGTAGTGGAGCCAGAACTGCAGTCTGCAAGCACTCTTTTATGATTACTTTTTCTTTTTCTAAATACAGTAATAACCATGTAGCAAATGTGTATTTTGTTGTGCTTTTTATGTCATTGTCAATGCCTGTTTAATCTTCTCCTTATGTAGAGCTAGCATAAGCTTTTGGTGTATCTATGCCAGACCAAATCAAGGAGCTGATCAGGCTGAATATCATTTTTGCTTCCAACATTACTTGCCGCCCTGATCAGTTTTTGGAGGGTTTGGCAGCAATGAGGTTAAAAATGTGTGAGAGGTTACAATGTTTCAATCTGGGTATGAAACTCAGTGACAGTCTGAAATTTAGATTTTGTAAAGTTGTGACATAAACAAATACAGCATTGAAACTTTCTCCAGAGCAAGCTGTTGACCAGACAGTCATCAGACCAAAAAAGGTGGAGAGACCTCATTAAAATCAGTGACTGCACTCTCACACTGGGGACCAGACATCCATTTTGTCCTGAAGATTTGCAGTAATGCATGCCATGCATCTTATGGCTGGTAAGCCACATTTCTTTAAAGATTTTTGCAAAGCAAATATTGCAATGAAAAATGTACACAGAAATTATTATAAGGCTGTGCCAGCTGTGCTAGCCAATGAAACAGAAGGTGTTGATTTGTCCTATTGGTCAGAGAGCAAATTTTTTCCTACTTTTCAGTTTTTCTTGCCACCTACTTCATCACTTTTATTTTAGTATTTCCAATAAATCTCATGAGATTGTTACTTATCACTCCTGAAAATCTGCTGAGCTGCCTTTTTTGACTTCACTGCCATGTGTTCATGCCTATCGCTACATCACTGCTGGTGGAGTAGTGGTCTTCAGCAAGTGATTTAAATGCTTGCCCCATTTCTCTCCAAGCATACTGTTAAACATCTGATTCTTCATGATGATAACATCTAACAGAAGGGCTCCTCCTTAGCTCCTGCATAGCTGTCTCCAAAGACTGGTTTGTCAGACTTTGCAAATTACCTCTGAGAGGTACAGTCCTGCTGGCTGAAGATGGGTCTGGAGCCACTATAAACTATTGCATGAGGCAAGTTGCGGCCAAACTGACTTCCCTTTTCCTCTCTTTACTTATTTACCAGATTCTAAATTTGCATACAGGCAGATCATACGCTCCTGAGAATAGACATGTGGGAAGAAGGCCTGCAGAAGAGAGTAGTCTGCTTCAGATACAGTAACACTGAGATTGATCCAGACCCTGGCTCTGGAGGTGACATAAAGGATCGGTTCCCCAGACGTCAGTCTGAGCTGCTGCTCTTTGTACCCAATGTGGGCACCCATCAGCATTTCTGCTTCATGCATAGCTCTTAGAGATGGAGGCTGTATCTTCCACGTTAATGTAACACCTGGCACAGTGGAGAGCTATTAGTGTTAAGCCTTTAAGCAGTACTACCATGGCTACAACAATTGGTAGAGACAATTAGATAATTAATTACTTTCCAGAAAACCTTCTTCTCTAGTATGGCTTGTCAATACAAGTATTGACTAGATTAATTTAATGTCAGTTGTAGGAGCAGCCTTATGGTTATTTTGTATTTTAGTGTTGGTTTAGTGCTCATCAAGGCTTTGTTTATGTTAGACAATGGGTATTGCAGGGTTCCAGTGTCTCTGGGATACCTGGAACTGAACTTGAACATTTATTTGCACCCAGGCCTGGTATTGCCAACCTAACCCAATAGAGGTTGCTAACTGGGCTCTGGGAGGCTCTGGCTGTTCCATCTTGGGTGTCGGGGATAATGCTGTCACTGCTCCTTTTGGAGCCTCTTCTTCATGCAGTTGCACAAGTGGATAAACACTGTAACTCCCCAGGTACATCCCATTTCTTCAGACCTTTCCCACCTTTGTCAGCTGCTGAAAGGATATGAGATGGCATCCAAGTTCTCACTGGTCTCTTGAAAGCAGTACACATAAATCTCAACATAAACTGATATAAATCCATTATTCTCAGTAGAGCTACACCCATGTATGGAAGATACAGATCCAGTTGCCTTCCAAAAAACTGAGACCGTATTACCCTTGGTGGTGTTTGTTTAGTGATTACTGTTGTTAGTTACTGTTACCAACACACAGTCTATTCTTCAGCCTAAATCTCTTTAGTGAACTGGGGCAGTCTACCATGCCTTTACCCAGAGCGGTGATTTCAGGTGTAGATGTATAAACAGAAAGGCAGGAACTGACAGCAGCCGGCCTTTTGGGAAAACCTGGTTTTCACCTCCTGCCTTTAGAGCAATTGCTCACTTTTAGTGAGTTTGTTTTTTAAAAAATGTTGCAATATTATTCAATGTTATTAATTTATGGGGAAAAAGCAACAGGTAATCAATCTATAGACACATTAATCTTAATATTCAATGCTATTCCAATGATATTTTAGTTTCCTGGTAACATTGCTAATGATTTGCTATCATGAAACACAGACAGATTGAAGTTATTTCACCGGATTCTGGAACAGTATGAAATCAAGTGAGGGTTACACTGATTTTGTAAAAATGTACTGCTGGTTGCAATTCTCCCTGTATTCAGCAAACCATGAAATAACACTCTATCACACTTCTGGCACTTGAAAACAGAAGAGCAATCCAAAGACTTCTGGCAATATCTAGCAGAAAACACAGGACTTCCTTTCTTCCCTCCTCCCAGTATCTGAATGTTCATAAAGATCAGTTTAACAATTTTCCAGAGCCTAGACCAGTGGAAACATGGAAATTAATTACTGCAGTCACCTCATAACTCAACTGTCAGTGTTAATAGATGTTTAGCACCACAATAAGAGCAGCAGCAGTGTATGATTTTATCATTGCAGGTAAGTGCCTTTAAAGTGACAGCTCACCATGAGCAGCTGAGCCAGGTGCTGTGCACCAGCGATATAGCTCAGGAAGCCCTTACCCTGCTTCTGGGGAGGGAGAGGGATCAGAGTACTACAGCTCCCTGACACTGGCTCATCTGAGCAACTTACTCATGGCAAACCTGTCTCACATGAACAGTACTGAGCAATCACAGAGAGAGAGAAATCAAAGTCTGTATGCAACAGAGTAAAAGCAATAAAACATTAACAAAGACATTTCTTCTGAATTTCCAGAGCACAGGAATGATTTGTCTGTTACATACCTTTGTGAAGCGAGCAATTTCCTTCCATGGTCTGATACCTTCATCCTCACACTTCCTATTTTGGAAATAGGCTAAGCTATCAAAAAAAAACAAAAAAAAACCAAAAAAAGGTCTGTGTGAATCCAGACCTGCACAGAATGTCTGTGTTGATGAGGTTGAGGATATGGTTGTGGCTGGTCAGAGGCTAGATGTCCTGGAACCACACCTCAAAGTTCTTGTTAAAGATGAGAGTCCTTTCTTCATGTGGAAATCCATTCCCAGAGAATACAGACTTCTCAGAAAAGTGTGTCTAACTGCAATTGAACCCTGACAAGACAAAGGAGTGTGTTGTTGTTGCTGTTACCGTTGTTGTTATTATTATTTTTATGGAAGAAGGTGCATAGTGAAAATGATCTGACAATACAAGACTTGCTGCTCATCCTTTTTTGCCAAAGGTTGAGTAATGCTTCAGAAGAAGAGGCCAGGTTTAGCCAACAGTAATTGTTATAAACTCATAACTGTCAGAGCTTGCCTATACAAGATGAAACATTTTACTGACCTTTGCTAAAGTTTCAAGGCTGTTATATAGTCACCCAGACAAGAAAAATCTTCGATTTGGGGCTTCCAATGCTGAAGCTCTGTTTGCTCAAGCTGGTTTCATTGGTTTGTTTCTATAGACTGTTCTGCAGACCTCACTTTCTCCCTCTCCTTCAGCACCTACAAGTCTCAAAGCGTCAGTTGAAAAGGAATTTTGAGTGTCTGTAATTCACTGCAGAAACTTTCCAGGCTGCTGAGGAGACACTAATGAGATGAGACACTAACACTGACAGTATCAACAGAATCAATCCTTCAGCACCAATAAGCTGTATCAGTGCTTGCTTATTGAGTTTGGGTCTTTTTTCACCTGTCCAAACTGATGGCGACTTATCAAGGCAGTGCTACATAGGTTTGATGGCATACTTACTAGATGACAAATTCTCAAAGCCACATGAAACTTTAAGCTTGTGTAAGGTAACCAACATGTTGTCTCTTTCTTCCCTATGTCAGCTGCAAACCACACAACATGCAGGGACAACCTTTGCTCTCAAATTGCATACATCATTTCTAATGCCCTTAGAGCAGTACCTATGCACCTATACATTTCTTCATCCTGGTTCCCACGCCAGCAGATAAAGAAGACCTTTAAAAGCATAGCACAATCATTTAATGTAGTGGCAATTGGGCTATGTAGAGTTCCCTGAGACTGGAACCAGATCTAAAACTTTTGGTGCAGGTTGTAAGACTGAAGCACCAATTCAGTACTTTAGTGTTGAGCCTTGCATCTTCTCAAAAGTGAATTCAGAAAGCTGCTGGAGTTTCATTTATCTGTGGGAAACAGAGATGGCACAATGCCTGTAGTCTGTGATGAATGTTAGCAATGTAATCTACTTTAGTACCTCATGTGTTCGGAGGCTCCCTTTGCAGATTTTCTTGCTTTGGCTGAAGGCAGGCAGGATTCTGCTATAGCAAAACTTCCACATGACTCAACTGTGCCTTCTGTGGTAAAGCATCCTCCTGATTGTCAGCAGTTAAACTGTTGGACAGCAGAGCAAAACAGAAATATGTCTGGTCTCCTGGCACTGGGGGACATGAATGCATAAACATCCGAAAACCTTGCTTCTCTGCTGCAGTCATGGGCATTGAAATTTGTCACTGAGGATTGTCAAATATGCTGTGGTATTCAGCGTGGAAAATATTACACCAGAATACCTTGGTTAAATAGTGGTAAAACTGAAATATAACCATATGCTACCAAGTGAAGAGTCAGCAGAAACTGCTGACTTTTGGCATGTCAAAGCCCATGAGGTAGCTTGTGTCTTTCAGGGGAGGGGTAGTGTAGGACAACCAGGACAAGTAATTCAGGTACACAGCTGGGACAGAACTAGCTGTTTTCCCCACCTCAGTTCATAGAAAGGAATAATTTATTCTATGATATGAAAATATGACTTTTGTAGCTGTACTGTGAGGAGCAGAGCTTATATTAAAGTATTAACTCAGAAACTGACTCCCCACAATGCATTACTTGCTTTAATATGAGTCCCTAGAATTAAGTCCCCAGTGCACAGGTCCCCTGCTGGCAAACACAGAAGTGAAACTGGACCACAGGTTTCAGAAATGGAGTAAAGAAATTAAGCCACAGCAGCAGTGAATTTTGGATGATAGAAAGGGATTTGACTTATCAACTTACCTTTGTGGCTGCTATTTGTTTATTCCACGTGATAACATGTCGGTCGTGTTGGGTCAGTGGTTCCTGCAGTGAACAGAAAGTTCCTTCTTTGGAATGTCTTTACAGGCAAATAAAAAGCTAATACTGTAACAGTGATAATTTAGGAAGATGCACTTTCCAGAAACTGTTTTAAATTTCAGATTTACTCTTCAATTACCCTGCCTTTGTTCTTTAGTCTTATTATTGCATCTTTACAACTGAAGGCACTTTTCCTGATATACAAGATCATAGAATCACAAAATGGTTTGGGTTGGAAGGAACCTTAAAGATCGTCTAGTTCCAACACTGCTGACATAGACAGGGACACCTTCTGTCCTTGAGAAGAAATTCTCTGGGTATTTCTAAATACTGTGTATTGCACTTTTCATCACATATAAATCGGTGGTTATTAGCATTCCAGAGGCAATATGTCCACCAAGCTGACTGAAACAAAGATAAATTATCTGGTTTATGCGGCACAAATTCTTTTCTTTCTATAAACACACACATCTATGTGACTATCTAAGTTCATTACAATAATTTATTATAAATAGTGGATAATGTTTATCAACCTAGCATCAGATAGCTACAAAATCTACTCATTTAAATTAAAAAATAAATTGGGAAAAAAAAAATCTTTTTTTTTTTTTAACTGTGTGCTGGCTGAATAAAAACGAACTCTAATTACTAAAACACCCTGAATACAAATTTTCTGAGGCAGCATTTTCCAGAAAAATATACAGCAACATTTCCATTAATTTCAAAGGTGAACAGTTTTGATGAATGCTGTGGGTTTTATAAATACAAACCAGACACAAATAACAAGGGCCTCTAAGGGTAGGTACCTTCAGGAAAAATTATGAAATTACATTACCAATGAATTTATGGTAAACACCTGCTAACACACTTCAGTATTTATATTTCAGCAAAACCATTACATTTAACAATAATTCTCACCCTGCTCTGTGTAACTCCATGAGACTGAAAATGAGGAATGTGACTGTCAGCTTTGTGCTCCATCAGTCCCAGGGCTGCCAGCAAATATACCAGCTTCCCTTGTGATGGGGGAAGCCTCAGGGACTGTGCTGTCCACAGGGGATCACTGAAGGGGGGCCATGCTGGGCGTGCTGCCTAGCCCAGGCACCCTCTCTGCATAGGAAAGAGAAATAAGCTGATACTTAGTGTGTAGAAGAATCGGTTTTCCAAATGGGACAACACATCGCCTTTTACTCCTCCATACCTGAACAAAGTTTCTTACTAAGCTGATATGCTGTGTGGTTATAAATTTGCCTGTATTTCCACTGTTTCCACAGCCTTAGTCTTGAGCTACTTGAGGTTTTGACCTGGCTGGGTCTGGGTATATAGGTGCATTTCTGAGCAGAGGTCAAGAAATCAGAACTCTCTTAAAGCGTAATTCCTGTCTGTGCCCTGGAGGAGGCAGGGGAGAAAGGAAACAGCTTAAGCTATCATTTGATGCATCTTCATGGCTAAAGCATAGTTTCAAAACTAGTCAAAGGTTTCTAATCAGCAGAAAATAAATATCTGGACTCGACAAAAATAAAAATACTGAGAAAAAACAACATAACCTCCCACACAAATGGAAGATAAAATGAAGTTTCTGACATTTCTGGCAGAATTATTCAATGTGGTAAACCATGACAGAATAGAGCTGGACTTCATGATATAGGTCTCTTCTAGTCCTAGGACTGAGGTTCCTATAAACCAATGATAACTCAGAGATACAAAGCTGTGTCAGGAAGGGCAGACAGAGACAGTTATCTGCATACACCAAAGGAAACCTCACTTTTATGCATCCACCCCTACTGCAAAAGTATTATGTTGATATGCATGAAATTGTTTTACCTCAGGAGGCCTATTTTGTCTTTTCTTGATTGCACTATTACACTTATTTAAATATTATTTAAATTCACATCTTGCCATCCAAACATAACAAAGCCTAGAAAGGAATTTGGGATGATATAGAGCAAGCTAAAGTGATCTTCAATTTTTAATCCCTGTCTTCCCATTCTAAACAAAAAGGATGAATGTGTCTTCAGCAAGTGAATCATTGCTGTGGCATTATAAATTTCCAGATGGTTCTAGCAATAACTGAATGAGTTCATATCTCTGATGTAACTCCCATCAAATTACTGGTACTACATCAGGAATTAATTTGCCTTAGATTTGTACAAGTCAAAAAGAAAACTGTAATAACATCACTTTTCTACATTCTATTCATTAAAAATATAAAATACAGGAATTTATAAATTTACACTTTTTTTTTTTTTTTGTAAATCACTCCATCAGCATGTAATACATTTCAGTTATGCATGGATCTTTAAGATTAGTCACTCTCTGAAGTTATTTCTCCTCAAATTTTCAGAGTCTAAGTGACTTTTTTAGACTAGACTTCTTTTACACAACCTGAACTGGGCAAAAGGAGTTGCACCCTTAGTATCTAGTAAGATGGGGTGGAGGGACTTCAGTGAAGGAAGATATTTAAACATAGCTGTTTTCTAATCACTCCATCCGTAGTTTTTATTAGAATGTTACTCACGTAACATAGCTTTGAAACTTTTCCAGTTTCAGATGTAATGTGTTTCATTAAGCCTATTTTAATCTGAGATTTCATAGGTGGTGTTGCTTGTCCTCCTGGAGTACCTAGCGGAAAGGTCCACAGCGTAACAGTCTCAGTTCACAGGTATTGAAGAATTCTCTATTGCAAGAGTTTGCAACAAAATACACAGTAACAAGCAACAAATGAAGACAAACACCAAACAGAAAAGGCAAGGAATACAAAATACCTAGGAAATAATTCTATTATAATAAACACCTTAGTGATTCCTGGATCTGGAAAAGCACCATGCAATGGCTTTGTGGATCGGTCCAGCAGGTTCCAAATATGTAAACATTTAGATGGCAGAAAATGCCAGGAAACTTGAAAGAAAACTGCTATTGTAGCTGGTGAATTCATCTTCATAGGGAAAATGTGAGGGTTATATTCATTCTGACTATAGCTTAATGCAGTTCAGGGAAAAAAACAACCAGATCTATTTTCCATCCTGCTAATAATTAAGCTCTTGTAGGACTGAAAAAAAAAAAAAAAAAAATCAAACCCCCAAAACCAAAAAACCCACACATACATTTTTGTCAAGCTTTCTATTTTCATTAATTTTTTAAAATTTTTGGGGCTTGACCTAACTCCTGAAGGTATAATATTAAAATGCTATGAGGTATACTGACATGGATGTGTGGATGGACGGATGGATGGACGGACAGACATATATGCACACAATCTGTTTGGAAATGAAGAACTCTGTGACATAATGTCAATATCTCTATTAGAACTGCATAAAAACGCCTGCAATCTCTTACCTCAAACTTGACTTCTGAATCTCTCTAGGTATGCTCAGAACCAGGTTTAGAGAGCTGGCATCCAAACACTGTTGTATTTTCAGTCATGGCTGAAGGCACATTGCACTATGTCTAAATATACCTTTTTCAGGATTGCAGAATGCGAGGATTATTAAAATTAATAGAATTGATATTTGTACACTGGAAAAAATAATTGCTTACTCCATGAAGTGCTGCAAAATGATGATTGACTTGAATATTATGTTAGTGAACATTTGTAACACAGTGGATAATTTTTCAATTACAGTTTTTTATGACATTATTAAAGCTAGGTCACTTATTGCACTAATCTCCTCTGTTCTGCCTCCTTCTATAATTACATTAGTTACTAAGTACAGTGTTTTTTAAAGAAATTATGCTTGCCATTAAATATTTCAACCTTACCTATAATGAGATCAGCATTAACAAGCTGCTATCAGTATTGTAGGAAGATTTCATCAACAATGAATTAAAACATGGAAGAGATAAGTTACAACTTTAATTTATTTTAACCATTCTTTATTTTTATCTTGTGAAAGTTAAAAAAATGCTTGTTTGAAAAAAAATAAAATCTGTCTTTTAAAGGTATATGCAAATATACACATGCAAAAATAGGTATCAGGGGAAGAGCAATGCATCTTCTCATTCTTTCTATATGTAGAGTAAATTGCACCAGTCTCAGTATATTTCTTTGCAAACAGGAATACTATTGTGGGTAAAAGAAAGTCAGTGAACATAATGTACTATATTTGGAAGTTCAACTATAAGGCATAAAATAAGCCCTTTGCAAGACATTTTCAGTGAAAAAAATATTCAAGGAGAAAGGTCCAATCAGACATCGAAATTAGATAAATCAATAGAAAAATAGAGGTCTAATAATCATATAGCTTTTGCAACAGAATGAAGTGGATGCTGTTTTTCTTTAGGGACATACGAATTGTAGTGTGTGAAGTAGCAATCCTAGGCAGGAGCAGATACCAAAGAATCCAAAACCCATAAAGAAATAAGAGGAAAATATTGCTATTAAGGGTAATAAAAACTCACATAGGATAATGATACACTTCAGATGTATTGAATGAAATCAAGATACTGTGCTGTATCACTGCAAAATGACTGCTAATGTCAATAAGGACATAATTTGAAATAGTCTGTTTCTCATAAATTTTATGAACTCTAAGCTACCAAGATCCCTTAGAGGGAAAGATCAGTGAGTTTGTCTATTGAAGTTATATCAGGAATTAAAGAAAATCGCATATACTCATTCAGGTGGGAAGAAGAAAGCTAAATTATTCTAAGGGTTACAAGCATTGGTATTTCTAACACTCAGGAGTTATAGCAGATACAGAAGAGAAACTTCACAAGGAAAAACCCTGGACCACATACCTACTCCAGTGAGCCCAACTACAGTTCTTCCACTGGCTTCTGATGGGATGAGGACATCCCATGCCCATTGTCAATTGCAATCATAAACATTTACATTAAGAAACACAGACTAGAATCATTGTCCAATGAAGTTTAAAGAAGAAGAACATAAAAAGGAAAGAAATGCTTTTTTTCCCCCACCATTTTCATGTATTTAAGGTACTCAGTGAAGATAAAAATCAATACATATGTGAGAAAGAGAAGATCATGGTCTCTAA